TGACACTCTGAGTCCATTTCCCAGACCTGGAGAAGAGCTCTGTGTAGCTCAAAAGCTTGTCTTTCACCAACTGATATGGGTCCAGTAAAAAAATTACCTCATGCACCATGTTTCCATTGCCTGTATAGTTTATAATGCATTTTAGGATCCTGGCTGATGAAAGGTGCTAGTATAGTTGAAATTAGCAGTGATGGTTAGAATTCAAATTACCTAACATTTTCCATTTTAAGAATCTGTGCTTATATCTTAGTTTAACTTACTTATTTGGTCTACATTTTTTCACGCTTGATGATTTTTAGCAAAAGTGAACCATCCGTTTCCAAGAATGAGACTAGGGAAATGTATGTTCTTTGGCTTGGTTTTATACCTTAACTTCCCTTTTTCTGTATATATGGAGCCTTACTAAATTCATAGCCATGAAAAACATATTATAAATTGTGAAATCTGGTTTTTCCCCTATGAAATCTGGTCTTTTGTGTGCTTTTACTTTACACAGATTTCATGGGGAAGATCAGCATTTCATAAATTGGGGGTGCTGACCTACAAAGGAGTTGCAGGAACATCACAAAGTTATTTGGGGGCAAGAGGGGAGAGTTACAGTATTGTCACCCTTACTCCTCACTGCCTTCAGAGCTTGGTAGCTGAAGAAGAGCAGCTGTGAGCCAGGTGCCTAGCTCTGAAGGCAGAGTTCCACCAGCAGCAGCACAGAAATAACCCTGTCAATACCATACTATGCCCTTCTTATTTCAGTGTTACTGCTGGTGGCTTTTCTGCTTTCAGAGCTGGGCTCTTGGCCAGAAACTGCTGCTCTCCAGCTGCCCAGCTCTGAAAGCAGCACCACCACCACTACCAGCATAGAAGTAAGGGTAGCAGTACTGCAAGCCCCCCTACAATAACCTTGAGATCCCTCCCACCACTCTTTTTGGAGTCAGGACCCTTACAATTACTACACCATGGAATTTCAATTTTAAATAGCTGAAACCATGACATTTATAACTTTTAAAATCCTCTGACCATAAAATTGACCAGAGTGGACCATGAATTTGGTTGGACTCTGTTCATATCTCATCTTATTATATATTTTAGAAATATCTGTCTGTCTGTCCATCCATCCGTGAGTCTGTTTGTTCAAGAACTCCTCCAGAACAGATTTATTGAAGCATAAGGTAACAGATTTATAAATAAATCTGTTAATCTATAAGGTGTCACAAGACTCCTTGTTGCTTTTTCAGATTCAGACTAACACGGCTACCCCTCTGATACTCCTCCAAAACAGAGCTAGGACCACCTAATCTAGTGTGCACCTTCCTCACATTATAACTTAAAACAAGGTAAGGGTTTGGTTGTGCCAGGATAATGGGATGTGAGTTGAATTCAATTGTTTTTCATACAGTGGAAAGGGAGGGATCTGGCAAAAGGGAGTTATACTGAATAATGACCACAAGGGGGCAGCAAGAGGTCAGAGGTGAGGACTGGGACAACCATAACGCCATTGGGCCAGCAGGTGGCAGAGGTGGAGAAAGGAGTAGCTATCTATTATATTTCAGAGAGCTTCTTTGTGTGTCTGCTTCTCTGTGTGTCTCTGTCCCCCAACTGAGCTGTTCCCACTGAAGCTGTAGCGGCCATGGACAGGCACTTCCTGCCTGGCTCCAACCTGCTGCAGAAAGAAAGGGCTGGGGTTGTTATCTCTCCCTGGGTCAGCCTGCATACTGAACACCTCAGCTCCAGCCCCACCCCAAAGCCGTGGTTTAAATGAAGATAAACAAAACTGAATTGAATTAAGGACTCAAGCAATGCCGGGTAAATCATCTAGTACAATATAAATGTAGGTTAAAGACACTTTACACAATTTATTCTTTGATCGTTGCTTAAAATATGCAGCAAAATTTAATCATTCAGGAATATAAGGAGACAAGGGGCTTCTCTACACTACACGGAAGATCGCTGCTGCTGCAATCAATCTTTTGGGGTTTGAATTGGCGGGTCTAGTGAAGACCCACTAATTCGAACTGAGAGGGTGTCTCCATCGGCACCGGTAGTCCTACTCTTCATAAGGAGTAAAGGAAGTCAAAGGGAGCATTTGTTCCCTTCAACCTCCCACTGTGTGAATGGAGTGAAAAAAGATTTAAGATACGTCGACTCCAGCTACATAATTAACATAGCTGGAGTTGTGCGTCTTACGTTGACTTTGCCCTTTAGTGTAGACCAAGAATTGTTCTCACCAAACTTATCTCACCAACAGACCGATCTATTGTAATTGTTTTAGTCTGCTTCCAATCATTCAAAAATATTCAGGTTCTGTATGCCATTAGCTGCTCATGTGATAAATGATGCCAGAATTCCCAGTTGTGGTGCTCCTAAGGGAGTGTTCCTTTTGGACCAGACCATGCAGCTGTTTCACTAATCATAGTTCCCTGATTGCTTTAGGTTCTTCTCTTCATGCAGAGGTTTTAACTGTTGGTTGCTGCTCATTCCCTGCATTTATCTAGCACTCCTGTTCTAATCATTCAAGAGTTGCAAAAATGTTTGCATTATACCCAGGCTTTATAACTGGCGACAACTAGGAGAGCTGATTCTCCAAGAGTCCTTTTAAAAGTAAATATAGAATCCTGTTTACAAAACTGGGAAGTCTTTGGCTGATTCATTGTAAAGTCAACATGTGGAAATATATTATATGGAAAATATTCAAATGTTTTTGTCTGTCTTTTTACCACTCTCTTCGGTTGACTTTTCATAGTCCTTATCAGTCTGGAGAGTGCCCTGAAGGCACAGCCACAAAAAAAATAGCGTATTAAAAGAGGATTTTATGGATAGGACTATAATTAGCCAGGAAAAGAGAGACCAATGACAGACTGCTAGGGTGGATGTCAATCAATACGAGTTGAAATATCATTTACAGATAAATACAGGCATTTTGATTTGTATGTGTTAATTTTCATGTAATCCAGTTCTACTAGCTTCACTTAATTGATTAGTAAGTTTTTCTAAATTATATTATAATATAATTATATTATGTATAATTATATTACTGTAAAAATATATTGTTTCAGACACACTTCATTCTTTATAGCATGATTAAATAATACATCAATATGAGGTTCACTGGTTTTTAATATGCCTTCCAAACTAGGGATGGAATAGTGTAGTTGATTAACTGATAAACCAAAAAGCAAAAGTTTACAGGCTAATGCTATAGATTACACACACTTGCATCCCTCTCTCACCCCCACCAGTACATTTTTAAGCAGGCTAGCCAGTAGCCCGACTCAGTCCTGGATCACGCCAGGTCCAGGACCTACCTCCAGAGCAGCTCAGCATTTAAACTGTATTAGGGGACAGGCAGTCCAGTTCAGTTCCCACTTGCGCCAGGTCAGGGAGCTCAACCCCCAACCCTGGACAGGGCTGACATCTACTTGTGTCACCTATACATCTCTCTGTTCCATTAGGCCTATTGAATCATGAGAGGTATGTTCTGTAGTTTCAATGTTAAGGACCTACTTGTAATTTGAAACTTCTTATGGTGTAGAACCTGCCTGTTCTCCACTGTCTCCAGCAATGTAGAATGCCACTGTAATTTCTCGCCAGTTGTGGTTATGAACTGCCAGGCCTTCACTCTAACTTCCTGTCTCTCCAGTTCCTTTGTGACTAGCTCATTTTTTTCCCCTTAACTTGACATCGTGGTGTTTCCTAACCATGTATGATCGATCTCAGCTTCTCAGTATCATCTCAATTTGCCCCTCCAATACAAGAATCTTTTCCTTCAGCACAGACAACAGCTTGCATTTAAATCACAGAACTAGTGAGAGAACCAAGGGTTTTGGGGTTTTTTTCCATCGATAGAGGTAATCCATCTATTTGAGAAGTGGTAGGCAGGTTGAAGGAGGAATTCTTCCATTGACCTAGCTATGTCTACAGTAAGCAATTTTATATGTGAAATTTAACAGCCCTGTGTGATGAGCTAGATTGCCCTAAGTTTTAGATATAGACCTGTCCTTTGTGTAGATGAGGCCACTGAGAGAAGTTTCTAAAAGGGGTACGTCATGGTTGCTAAGAAACACTATTGTTTTTCAGTTCCATGTCCTAGGGCAGATTGTATTTAGAGTAGTAAAACTTTCTGTTTATTCAAAATTGGAAATAAATAATGTATAGTGATGTGGCAGATAAGTTTCTTCGATGGCTTTTCATGTGTACAAATGTAAAATTATGTGTCTTTGTAGTAGGGATGTCAATATGTAGTCGGCTACACAATTAACTGATAAGCCTAGTCTTATTGGTTAATCTTGTGGACTACACAACACTCCCAACTCTTGCTGCCTCTGTATCAGAGGCAACAAGAGAGGGTGGGAGCGGGAGCCCAATGCCTACGATGAGCTGACTTTAAACACGCTCCCTATGAGCACCAGATCTACCTGCCCCCTCACCCCTGCACTGCTGTCTCTGATAGAGAAGCAGCAACACAGAGCATAAGGGGGGCTGGCTGGAGCCAGTATTTGTGGGAAGTCGGCTTTCAAACAGACCCACCTCCTTTTCCTCCCCTCCCTTTTTCCTCCGCTGGCAGACTGGGTTCCACCTGACACCCCATGCTACTGCATCTGTATCGGAGGCAGCAGCACAGTGTGGCAGGGGGCTTCCCAGAAGTGTGGCCAGGAGCACATTGACTGCCACCTCCGCCCCCAGGGACTATTGAATAATCATGTAACCGCTAAGATTTCATGCAGTTACATGATTATTCAGTTACATAATATCTAAGATCCCTATTTTGTAGCTATCTTTGTGGGGTTTTTTTGCCTTGTTAGGTAAAGTTTTGGACTATGAAATGAAAGGAAAATGATAACTAGTTGTGACCTCCCCCATTTGAATCGCTACCTTATGCAAATTGGTGGCATTGTCACTTCAACATAGGAGCCGGCTTTCTGTACTTTCAAGAATTTAGGGTGGTTTTTTTAATGGTCTATGAATCTAGAAGATTTTAATATTTTTTTTTCCTTTTTCATATCTAGAAAAGCAGTAGAAGAGCTTCTTAAAGAGGCAAAACGGGGGAAAACCAGAGCTGAAACAATGGGAGCAATGGGTTGGTAAGTTCTAATACAGTAGATATTTTTAAATTTCATTTGTATCTTTAAATATAGGTGGAATGAAAAAAAAACCATTAAGCAGTGTCAAAAAAAGAGCCATAAACTCTACACTGAACATATGGCAGAACTTTCCTCTCTAACGTTTAATTTTAATAATATTGTATTAAAACATTTATTTTATTGATTTTTACATGCAGATTTCTCCAAACAGCATAACAAGAGGTGCAAAAACTTTAACTCTGCTAACTGAGGTGGAAATTGAAGAAATTTCTGCCTGATTGAAAATTGCCATACCAAGCATTTACAGAATATACCAGTTGGAGAACAAGTGGTACTTCTTGTGGTACTAAATCTTTATCACAGTGCTCACTGAATTAGATTTCAATCAAGATATTTATGAGATTGGGACATATTTAATAGTCAGTTTCAACATAGATGTAGTAGTATTTTGGCCAATAAATGCTTTTTTGTTTAGATTAAAAATACTAATTAATATCATAAAGAAACTTTACAACACATTTTATTATAAATTGTCCTTTTGCAGTACATTTCTGTTTAAACGACAGCAATCTATAAATTGAAAATAACATACACTTTTGGAAGCTAGTGTTATTTGCTCACAATTTTTAATGTTAAATCTTAAATAAAATGCAAGGAATTTTAATTGCCCTCCAATTCATGTTAATGGGAAAAAAAACTAAAATTCTTGTTTCTTTTAGCATATATTATAACAACTATTAATATCATTAATTTGGAATAAAGATCAGTATTTTAATTTTCACAAAATACAGGACTATGTAGCACTTTAAAGACTAACAAGATGGTTTATTAGATGATGAGCTTTCGTGGGCCAGACCCACTTCCTCAGATCAAATAGTGGAAGAAAATAGTCACAGCCATATATATATACCAAAGGATACAATTAAAAAAATGAACACATATGAAAAGGACAAATCACATTTCAGAACAGAAGGCGGATGCGGGGGGGGGAGGGGGAAGGAAGGTAAGTATCTGTGAGTTAATGATATTAGAGGTGGGGAAAGTTAGATGTCTGTGAGCTAATGGTATTAGAGGTGATAACTGGGGAAGCTATCCTGGTAATGGACTAACACGGCTACATTTCTATTACTATTATATTAAGTAGAATGACTAAGATTTTGTTTGGTTATATTGTATCTGAAAAATAGTAAGTAGTCACATAGGGTACCTCTCAACAGTGGCATTATTTCGGGATAAGTCCAGTATCCCGAAATAGCATTTTCTGCATCTTAGCTACAAACCCGTTATTTTGAAATATATTTGAAATAATGGGCATGCTATTCTGACGTCCAGGAAAACCTCATTCCACTAGGATTAAGGGACTTGTCAGAATAGTGGTCTATTTCGGAATTTGGTTTTGTACAGACAGTGACAAGTTTTGAAATAGACTATCTTTAAATAAGCTACGCAATTTGTGTAGCTCGAATTGCATAGCTTATTTTAAGCTAAGTGATCCTGTATAGATGTACCTATAGTGACACATCTGCCATATGAAGAGAGATTAATAAGACTGGCTTTTCTCTTTCTAGGAAAAGAGATCATGAGGGAGGGATACCTTCTGTTCTGCAATGTGATTTGTCCTTTTCATATGTGTTCACTTTTTTTTTAATTGTATCCTTTGGTATATATGGTTGTGACTATTTTCTTCCACTATTTGATCTGAGGAAGTGGGTCTGGCCCACGAAAGCTCATCATCTAATAAACCATCTTGTTAGTCTTTAAAGTGCTACATAGTCCTGTATTTTGTTTCAGCTACACCAGACTAACACGGCTACATTTCTATCATTAATTTTCACAGTTACTCCTTCAAAGTATACTTATACATAGTACAGTAATATAATACAATGATTTAATCAGAGGAATAGTTCATGTTCTCAAATTGGTTTGGATGTCTTTGTTATCAGGAGCTCTTAAACAAATTTAAGACTGTTCACACATGCAGACTGAGACTAGTTTCTAAGCAGTTTGAATCAGTTTGTAGATCAGACAACCCTGACCCTTGCAAATGGTAGTGATATATCCTAAGTAATGGTAGGACCACACAATCAGCAGACTTCTCATGGGATTTGTTTTTAAAATAGCTGCAAATGGGTTAAAATAAAGTGGTTATTTTCTTAAAAGAATCATTCTTTTTACATAGGGTTTTGTCTAGACTTAAAAGTTACATGTACACAGCTATGTCCGTGGGTGTGAAAAGCCTTACCCTGGAGAGATGTAACCATGCCCATCTAACCCCTGGTGTAGGCAGGGGTAGGTCACCAAAATTATTTATTCTTCTGTTGACCTAACTGCTGCCTCTTGAGGCAGCAGATTACCTTCACCTATGAGAGAACTCTTATCAATATAGGTAGTGTCTACACGAAAACAGTGCAAAAACCCAGGTGTAGCTTTGCTGCTATAGCATTTTAAGTGTAATCATCCCTAGTCTTACATCTGGTGTGCTCACAGTGATTTGAATAAATTATACTATTTTGGTTAGAAGTGTGATTTTTTTTTTTTTTTTTTTTTTATTAATAACAAAATGGTAAAGTTATAAAAGGCAGAATCACCTTTATATCAATATAACTGCATCCTCGATTTAATTACAACTGTTTCTAAACCACTGTAGGCATGCTCTAAACTTAAAACTTATATCAACATAGGTACAGCATTCAGGAGTTTGAAAAATCCACACCCTTGAGCACTATAAATGCAGTGTAGGCACATCTAGGGCAATGGAAGTATGCTTCTCTTGACCCAGCTACCTTCGCTCAGGGTAATGGAGTTCCTGCAGTGACAGAAAAACCTTCCATCTGTATAGCCTGTTCCTGCACTACAGAGTTACAGTGGCATAGCTATTGTTCCATAGCTCTACTGCTAGAGCACTTGTAGTGTGGACATACCGTAGTCAAAGAGACATGAAAATTCTCTTTACTTAGGTATTCTTTAGGTTTGGTCTTCTAAAGGTCATTATGGACTTGCATTATAATCCTGTGTCTACTATGAAAGCTTTTCTAAAATGAACCATAGAAAACTGAATGGTTTGTTGGGGTTTTTTTTTTGAAAATTTTGAGCAAAATCTGTTTAGCTGAATGTGTTATAAGAGAACAGTTGGAGAAGGGGCAGAAAGAAGAAAAAGATAATTAGAAATATTAGACATGAAATTATACTCTTCATGGAATCTTATATAATTCCTATTTAGTGTCTATATATGATTTTCTATTCGGCACTAAATAGAAATCCTCTGTCAGAAACCTTGTAGAATACCAAAATTGGGGATAGGAATGTTTTCAGAGCATCTCTGTTGTTGTTTATGTCCCTATCCTATTTCTCATCTCTAAATTCAGGCCTACAGTTGCAGTAGAAATGTGTTCCTATGCTCCACATAGAAATGCAATACACAAGGTGCCCATTGTACACAGTGATTAGAATGTCCTGGCCTTAGTGCCTTACTCAGTGTTACTAATAGGAAACAGCACAATATGCTGGAATGCAGGCCCGGCCTTAGGGCAATGTGAGCAAGGCAGTTGCCTTGGGCCCCGCGCCTTCAGGGCCCTGCGCTGCCTGGCGCCCACCCAGCTGCTTGCTCACTGCCCTGTCTGGGAGCCACCTGGAAACACGGTGCAGTAAACCACAGCATGCTGCCTTAGGCTCCGCAAACTCTTTGGCCGGGCTTGCTGGAATGCAGTGCTATTCTTCATCTGCACTTGTTTGGCAGATACTAGTTTGAAAAGGAAGGTGGCTCATTGCTAATTAGGACTACAAATAGTAAAATGCCATTAAGATTTTGATTTAAACCCACAAGACCAGTGGCACTGTTTTTGTCCATATGATGAAGCTGTCGCAGCCTCTTTGTCTTTACGGCTAACGTATGTTTAAAATTTATAAAATATACATTCATCTTAGCCTGTGGAAGCATACAAAATAGGTTTTCAAAAACACAATACTTTTAAAAACATACAACCACATTGATTTTGTGGCGTGAAAGTGGTGTAATGGGCTGTAAATCAGGCTCAATGATATGATCATGTACACTCCCCCACCCACTACAGAACATGTGCTTTATGCATACTTTAAAGAACATGAATGTTTTAAAGTACTATTTTTAATTTCTTAGGGTTTTTTAAATGAAAAACATAAGCACAGATTCCATTCTGTGGAACTTTGTGCTAGTCAGTACAGCCGCTCCCCGAATTGCGAACGGTCAAGTTATGACTGTTCGCACTTACGACCAAAGCTCCCATGGAGCGGTCGTAAAGGTGGTCCCCGAGTTATGAAAGTGTTTGGTCCGTAACTCGTTCGTAACTTGGAAAGAGGCTGTAGTAGAATGCTCTGTCTTGAACAAAATCCATATTTGCTGTCCTGAATCATTTGAAGTCAAAGACACAATTTCCATTAACTTCCCTAGATCAGACCTTCAGAATGGCGAAGGCTAAAGGTGTAGAGGGGTAGAGAACCTTTTTTTTTTTTTTGGGGGGGGGGGGGGGGGGGGGGAGGCCACTGACCCACAGAAAAATCAGTCGGGGGCCACACAGAAGTGAGAAGCAAATAAATAAACAAATCCTCATTGACGTGGCCCCCAGCTGAGAAGCAGAAAGACACTCCCCACGTTCCCCTTGCACACCAGAGAATGGGGGGCCCAGGTTAGTAGATTTTGTGTGCTTTAGCCCCACGGAGGTTGGTGGGGGTTTGGAGCACTACTGTAATCTCCCCAAGCCTTTGTGGCCCCCAGCTTGCCTAGACCTGGCCCCCATCTGGCCCCTGGGCCTTAGGTTCCCCACGCCGTTGTACATCTTACTAAATAAGGCAAGGGCTTGTGCCTCAGTAGGCTTCTCTATCTTAAAGAAATATTCTAAAATGTTTGCTTACACTGGTGAAGCCCACAAGGAATATGGGTCACTCCTAAACTTTATTTTTCATAGTACACTGTGTACATGCTACACATTTTTATAGAAAAACTTTAGAAGTGCTCCTGGGATGATTTATTATTTCCTTTCAACTAGAAAGCTACAATTAAGGCTGCAATTTTTTCACGGCAGTCACAGATTCTGTGACTTCCAGCAACCTCAGTGAATTCAGCCCCAGTGGCTGGGTTCCCTTGCCACCCAGTGGAAGTACACTGCAGGTACCCGCAGCAACAGGGAACAAAGGAACCTCATGGCTCCTGGCCACTGCATGGCAGGATGCCTTCTGGAGCTCTGAGCCACTGTGGAGGATGGTGCCCACAGAGCTTCAAGCAGCCCTAGAGCTGTCCAGCCTCTGCGGGCTGTCTGGGTATCCCACAGATGAACTCCCCATTTGTCATAGATATTTTTAATAAAAGTCGGGGCAGATCACGGACTCTATGAATTTTCTATCTTGTCCATGACCTGTCTGTAATTTTTACTAAGAATGTCCATGACAAAATCTTAGCCTTTAAAGGTCTGGTTTAGTTACCCAGGATAGAAGTGGAGAAAAGAATAAAACTGACATTTGCAGTGCCTCTTAAAAATAAGGTAAAATAGCTATTTGTAGACCTACAAATGTCTTGACTTTAATAGTGAGAGGTCTTGAAACTTTCTGGTGCTAGAAGAATAGTTTCTTTGTGATGGAATAGTACTTTTAACTCTCATTTTGTAGCATTGTTATATAGTATTCAGACCAGGAGAGATACTGGCCCAAGACTTAATATTACTGTCAGCCTCCAGTGTAATTTTGAGCACATGGAGAATTGCATTTTTGAAGGAGATAAGAAGACACTAAAATGTTGAGACCCTGTGAAGCAGAGATTTAGAATATTACAATATATGAGGGAGATTTCAGGTGATGTTGTCAAAGGTAGAATGTTGTCAAAGGTAGAATGTAATATAGATATTGTTACCATGTGAAAGTATAAGAAATGTATTAACATCTGGTGATGAAATGGGAAAAAAATCATCTATTTGTTTAATTATGGAATAAACTACCTAAAATTTGTACATCTGACCATTTCCCCACTCATCTGTCTTTTCTGTCCTACTTTAGCAGTCAAAACTGTTCACATTCAAACTACCACGCTTTAAAAAATAAATACGTACATCAAATGCTTTATTCTCCTCTTTTCAATATGTTAGCATGACAGGAGCCTGGATTAAATCAAGAAAAAGCAGGGAATACTGTCTTGAAGATGATAAAAACCAAAAGATTGCTATGGATTGGAGTCTGTGCTGGCATGAAGTGAGCCCTCTGAGCTTAGTAGCACATAGATAAAATAACCCATTCCAATGAGATAGCAATCTTTTGGTTTTTATCATCTCATTGGAATGGGTTATTTTATCTATGTGCTACTAAGCTCAGAGGGCTCACTTCATGCCGGCACAGACTCCAATCCATAACACCTGCAGCTCTGCTTCAACCTCTTTCTGATCTTTGGGTTGGATTCCTCCCATTAGTTTTGCACAGAGGACTGTTTCCTTCATTCTCATTGTTGTGCAGACAGCAACTGTACTGTCAAAAACAAACATTAAACAAGATGCTATTTATTAAAGGAGATGGTTTTACAAAGGCAGGGACTATCTTGCCTCCTACTACGTCATGTAGATCAGTACTAAAACAGTACATTTGCTTAAAAATAATTAAAAAGCTAGCACAAACAGACAAATGCAAAGTATTTAAAGTTTTCATTTGGGTATAGGCTGCAGAAAGCTGCCCTAATACTTTAAGAAGCTTAAGGTACAAAAGTTAAAGCTGGTGGTAAGCTTTCTGACATCTTGGAAAACATTTTGAACTTGATCATTGAGGCTATGTCAACTATCATAGCTTGTTCTTCCAGTCTGTGCTTCCACAAAGTCTCCTCTTTCCACAAGCTGTTTGGCTGTTTTATACAGAGAACAGACTCTTTACAAAGGAAAACAAACAACTATCCCGTCTCCTCTCTTGAAACCCTTGTGTTATCTGCTCAGACTTGTTCTTTGTTTACTTCTCTTTCTGTCCTTTGCCTTATTCCCCATCCCTCAGGAAGGCTTGTCAACCCAATCCAAATCTCTTTCACCATGTCTGATCTAGGGCCTCATTCCCTTGCACTGAGAAGCCATTGAGTCGGGACAAAAGTATGGTTCACATAACAAAGCAAATATATACTGTTCTGTGTTGTACAGTACTTCTGAATGTATTTTATATTCCATCATATCTAGCAACACAACCTCTAATTTCCCGGAAGTAGCTCTGAATGACCATAAATTATCAGGATGTATTTCTTGTATTTCATACAAAACATTTTGCCTCCAACAGCACCGTGGTCCCTAACACGATTCTGGGTCATTCAGTGATAATTAGAGGATAGAGTACCACCTATTGAATCAGCACTACTAATTTGTAGAGAGAATTTTTGAAGGTTTTCAACCTGCACATGAAACCTCAACAAAGAGCAAAATTAAAATGTTAGTGAAGATCACAAGGGTAAAGCAAATCTTCAGAAACTTTCACTTACAGGTAGGGTTACATTCTTGTCCCGGGCAGTCTCGTATTTGCGGCCTCTGTCCGGTTTAAAAAAAAAAAAACAGAAAATACCGGATATGTAAAATGTCCGGTATTTTCTGTGTTTTCTTAGACGGAAGGCTGCTTGGGACATTCTTCTCCTGCTGCATCTGTTGGGTGGAGCATGGGGATTTAAAGGCACAGTGACAAGTTTTTGTGCAGGGTTGGGGTTGTTTGTTTGTTTGTTTGTTTGTTTTTTTCCCCCCCTCAACCAATTTTTTTCCCCTGCCATGGTATTTTTTGTGGAAAGTATCTGGCAACCCTACTTACAGCAGAAGAAAATTCTAAATCAGATACTGAACAATCTTAGTTTTATTCTGGGCCATGGGGATTTAAAGGCACAGTGACAAGTTTTTGTGCAGGGTTGGGGTTGTTTGTTTGTTTGTTTGTTTGTTTTTTTCCCCCCCTCAACCAATTTTTTTCCCCTGCCATGGTATTTTTTGTGGAAAGTATCTGGCAACCCTACTTACAGCAGAAGAAAATTCTAAATCAGATACTGAACAATCTTAGTTTTATTCTGGGCAT